AATGGAGTTTTACACTTGAGGAGAGGTTTATACTTGCCAAAGCTGAAAACTTTATGGACTTAGAGACCAAGGAAAGTCCAGATCTGAAGTTACAACTTCAGATCTTAGCTTATACTAATGAATGGCTTCTTATTATGCTAGAAAAGCCCTAATCTTTAACCAAATGAGATCTAGAATGAAATGAGGTCAAGGTAACGACTTGATACCTTCCACTAGATGCCAACTGAGGTAGATATCAGATCCCCCACAAGTTCTTTGTTTCTATTCACTTGATCTCCAAGCTCTTCTCACCAAGAATCCTCTTCCAAAGCTTAAAACACACAATGGAGCACACACACACGTATTAGGGTTTTGCTGAGCTCTCAAGGGACTGTAAAGAGGCTGAAGGAGGCTTATGATTCTTTAAATAGGGTGCAAAACCCCAAAAATTAGGGTTTCATCCCCCAGCACCTACTCGTCGAGTCTATTCTTAGACTCGTCAAGTAGATCACTTATACACATGGCCCAACCCGCTTCTACTCGACGAGTCAGGGCATCCAACTCGTCGAGTAGACCTTGCAATTTATGAAAAATCAAAGCTATAAAATTATCACCTGAGAGTCGGGGCGTTACACGAGTGTGGGCGGGGCCCGTATCTCCTTGAGTGTGGACGAGGCCCGTATCTCCTAGCTGCATGTTATGTGTATGGTATATGGTAGTTTGGGGGAAATTCACTAAGCTTCGTGCTTACGGTTTTCAGTTTTGGTTTCAGGTACTTCCGGTAGCAAAGGAAAGAGCTCGGGATGGCTGCATTTGCACATACCTTGATGATTTAGCTTGGGATGTTTACTCTGATATATTGACAGGTGTTTTGTTATGAATAGTTTTGAGATACTATAACTTATATTTTGATGAGATGATTTTCATAACTATGGTTTTATTTAACGATTAAAAATGAAATTCTTGGACTGTATTTTTAGGATGTTTCAGCCTTCCTCCCCAATTGTCTGACCGTAGAGTGAGCTCCTTGTGCTTCAGTCTTGTATGGGTATTGATAAAATTTTCTTTGGGTTGAGGACGTGTCAACCCGTCACATAGAGGAGGCGTCGTTGTTCTTTGACAAAGGGTTGTGCGGGGCGATTGAGGTCATTGTGGTTTGTGGTGGCCCTTTCTTTGGCAACATACAGTGGCGAATTGCCTCCCTATCAAGTAGGTTTGGTGCTTTGGGTTTGTACTCGACAATAGAGGTTGCCTCATATGCTTTTATTGTCTTAAATGCCCAATATTGGGTGTTGCAAGACCACATCTTACGGGATAGCGAAATATGTGGTATGGATTCTGATTATGTTTGTGCCTTGACTTCTCTTCGAAACAAGCTTTTGTACATTGACCTTAGCAGTTTTACTACTAAGGACAACCCCCCCCCCCTCCCCCGCCTAAATCCCAGAATACACCGGTGAGTACCCTTTTTAGTAAAATTGTCTAAGATATGGAAGTGCATTTTGATATGACAACTCGGCAGAAAGTAGTTTTCCAGTATTTAAATGCACCACATGCTCAAGATTTTCTTCTAACTATCCCTATAAATAGGTTTGGCCAACATATGTCTCATGTAGAGTATTGTACTATCCTTAAATATCGGCTCATGATCCTAATATTTCCAGATGATGAGATATGCCCGGTGTGCCGCAAGGCATGTTTGGACTCTTTTAGATAGCATGCAGTTTATTATAAAGAACTCATTGGGTTCAAATACAGGCACGATATGGTTAGAAATGTTTTGTTTGACATATTTAAGCGTGTCGGGGTTTCCACCAAGAGAGAGAGAGACATATGAATTTCTTGACTGATCCGACAGAAGGAAGATCAACACTTAGATCGGCTGACGTTTTGATTTTTGGATGGGTTGGAGGGAAACACGCCTGTGTGGACCTTACAGGGGTATCCCCTCTCGTGAGCTTGAGGTTTGGAGGTTTCAAGGCGGGACATACTATTTTAAAAGCTGCTACATGCAAGGTCACAAAACATGAGAAATCGTGCATGAAAAAATCAACACGTGTTCATACCATTTGCATTTGATACGTTTGGTTTCCTCACACCGAATGCGGTGAAACTTCTTAATAGAGTACAACGGATAGTGCATAGCAATGTTATATCCATTAGATTTATGGATGTAGTATTCAAAAAAAATTAAGTTACCATACAAAAAGGTTTAACGGTGCAGCTTGTTGTTCATTTGTTTCTCAGTCGTTGTGCTGTGATAACTAAGTTCTATCATAAATATTAATTTTATTCCTAATATAATTACACATTGTATATTACATTTATATATATTTTTTATATTTTTATCATTAATACTATTGGTTCAATTTGATTTATAGTAGTTTGGTTTAGATGAAAACTATAAGAGTAAATTACACGAATCATCCCTCGTGCATATGCCAAAATACGCGTTTGGTCCCTATTTTCAAAAATGAACTCGGATAGTCCCTTGTTTGGTTAAAAGTTGTACGTTTCATCCCTCATTAATTTAAATCTACACGCTTCATCCCTTGCGAGATTTGAAAAGACTATATTGCCCTTACTTATTTTCTTTTGGAATTTCTTTTTAATTGTTTATTTTTTTTTATAAATTATAATATATAAAAAATAAACTAGCCCTTCACCATTACACACCCCGACCCCTATTTAGCTAGATACCCTAGATCTTCCCTCTCGTTTCTCTATCTTCATCTCAAAATCTCACCCCTGTAAAGTCAAAATCCGACCACCGGAGTTGGATAATCGCGTTTTACACTCCCACCACCCCTCAACTTTACCCTTACATCACCCATCCGATCTGCACTCCTCTGTCTTCCTCTAATCCTACTCTTGTCATCATATCCAACCACCCTAATTTGCACATTTCACTTATGGTTCCCAAATATGAAACATGTAACCCAAATGGTTTTAGAAATCAAGAAAGAGAGAGTGGGACAGGAAGAAGATGCGCGACAAAAGAGGAAGGACAACAGCATAACTGTTACGGGTGATGGTGGTTTTATTCACTAATTTTATTCATCCAATCCAGTTGGTAATATGCGGAGAATACGTGGTTACATTCGAATTGACACCTGCGTTCCAAACCACCGTCTAGGGTTTAGATACAACTCCACCATCGCCATCGTCCACAGATCGTCTCCTGTGCGCCGTCATCGTCATCGTCTCCTGTACGCCGCCTAGGGTCAAAACCCTAGATCTTATGTAGTGGTCTTCATTGAGAGAGATGGAGAGAAGAATGATGAGGATGCAAGTATGAGATCGGAAGAGACAAAAACAGAAGACGAGAGTGAAATAGAGATTGAGGTTGGAGTCGATTGCCTCACTTTGAAACCGAAGATGCCTGGTGATGGTGGATAACTGGATATGAAATGTATCAAAGAAGAAGAAGGGACCCGAGGGGGGGGGGACGATTTATTAGATGTAATCACCTTTTTCTTTTTTAAAAGAAAATAATAATTATTTTTTATAATAAATAATTAAGAAATAACAAATAAATAGAAAATAAATCAAAAATAAAATAAATAAGGGCATAATTGTCTTTTTATGTGCGGAGGGATGAAGCATGTTAGTTTTAAACTAACGATGGACGGTCCGAGTTAATTTTTGAAAATAGAGATCAAACGTGCATTTTGGCATATGTCATATGATGAACGATTCGTGTAATTTACTCAAACTATAACCAAACATATGTTTTCGGTTACTCAAAAACAAAACCGCACTATTTCTTTTAATAATGATTCGGTTAAATCGGATTGGTTTGTTTTTCGGTTAATATCACCCTACGAAAATGTGAAAAACAAAAAGTGAGGCTCCGTTTGATATACGTCTGACCGAGTCGAGTCAGACGTTTTTTGCTGATTCGGTCAGCTGAGCTTGTTTGATAAACATATATGGGATGTCTGACTCGGTAAGATAGAGCTGAGTGGGAAAGACTTTGGTTATCTGCTGACTAAGAAAGGGGGAGATAATTTCCAAAAGAGCCCTTGCCCTAATACGTTCCAAATTTCAGCGCCTCATCCCATTTTTCTCTCTTTCAAGCGATCGACGAAGCTATGCCCTCCATCAATCGACGATTTGCGCCTCTACAGCTCTACAGATTTTCGATTTTGCTGCTTCTTCTCATCAGGTATGGTTCTCTCTCCTCTCAATTGCGTTTTTTCTCCTTGAAGTTCTTATTTTTGTTGTTCAATTCGTTTTCTCTCTTCTCAATTGCGTTTTTTCTGCTTGAAGTTCCCATTTTTGCTGTTCAATTCGACTATTTTTATGTTCAAGTTCCGATTTTATTCCCGTTCAAGTTTCATTTTGTTGCTGTTCAAGTTCCGATTTTTTGATGTTGAAGTTCCGATTTTTTTTGTTCTATCTGCTTGTCCTTTGTTGTTTCTGAAGTTGAAAAAGAAATTTACTGGGCAAAAAAAAAATTTTAAGAAAAATGCTGTGCATAATTTTTTTTATAGAGATACGTTGTGCATATTTTTTTTTTTTGATAGAGAAATGTTGTGCAAAATCTTTTTGATTGATGAATCTGAGTTGATTTTGTGCAGGAACTTGAGTTGGAGAAATTCATAACACATGAATTGCCGTTTGTGAGATCATTAAGGGTTTTTGATTAATAGTATATTTTAAATTAATATTACATGTACTAAATAATTTTAATTTTTTTATTAATAGTATATTGAATAAAAAGATTCTTGAGTATCAGGGTAAAATGATCAATTTGCATCATTCAGCAAATTCAGTCAGATGTACAATCAAACAGCATAGTTTCTTACTCGGATAGAATTTATTATTCAGACAGATATTTCTCAGTCAGCACTTTCTCATTCAGGCACTATCAAACAGGACATGAGTGTCACTTTGTAAAATAATTTGGTATTTGGATGTTAGCGACAGCAGGACCACAAAACTTTCAAACTATCCATTACCACCACAAAATTCAACCAAAACCGATCTATCCATTCATCACACACAAATCTCATAACATGCTTCTTCAGGGAAGCTTCTCCCTTCCATTCCGATCACCCCTCCGCCTCCGACCTCCGATCACCCACCACCACCTTCCTCGCAAATTCTCCTTGGCAGCGGTTTCATCTTCCGCCAGTTATGCCATCTCCGACCAAGAACTGGAATCGCGGGGTTTCATCTTCCGCCGCACAATCGACGACCTGAACCTCGACCATTTAAACTCCGTTTTCGTCGCCGTCGGTTTCCCAAAACGAGACACCGACAAGATAAAAGTGGCGCTGGAGCATACAGATTCGTTGTTGTGGGTGGAGTATGAGAAGACGAAGAGACCGGTGGCGTTTGCTAGGGCCACCGGCGACGGCGTATTCAATGCTATTATTTGGGATGTGGTGGTGGATCCGAATTTTCAGGGGATTGGGTTGGGGAAGGCGGTGATTGAGAGAGTGGTGGAGGAGCTGCTGCAAAAAGGGATCACAAACATAGCTTTGTATTCGGAGCCCCGAGTTTTGGGATTCTATAGACCTCTCGGGTTTATTTCGGATCCAGAGGGGATAAGAGGAATGGTGTATTCAAGAAAGAATAATAGAAAATAGTTGCAACCAAAATTATATTTTTGTTGTTTTTTTTTATGATTATTGATTTAAGTGTTGAATGTTAATTATAAATAATATAAATCAAGATGAAGACTATCTTCATAATTATTTCCATTTTATTAATTGTAATTTATAATACTTAGTTATATTTTTTGGTAATTTAAATAGAAAAGGAGAAATTTAATATCTTTTTCCTTTTCTTCCTATTTGTCTATGCAAAATAATCACAAATGCTTTAAATTATTTTTAATTTTATCAAATGTTACCATTTGACGTGGATAATAAGATAAAACAAAAAAAAAATATGCAAGGTGCGTTTGGTTGTAAAAAATTGATTTTATTTTCTAAAAAAATATTTTTAGAAAATAGAGTTGAGTTTTTATTTTTATTTTTCAATAAAAATTTTAGAAAACGTGTTTGGTCGGAACTAATGGAGTTTTAATTTTCCATCTTTGAAAATTAAAAAACTTTGGAAAACTGTAAAAATTACTTTTCTAATTTATAAAATTTGGAAAAATAATTTTTTTTTATTTTATTAGAAAACCTTGTAAAAATGAACGAACCAAACGCGTTTCCAAAATTTTTATTTTTCTTGAAAAAATTTCTTGAAAAACTGGAAAAAATTTCATAACCAAACGCACCATAATTTCTCATAAAACAAATATAGAAAAGCTTAAAGTTATTTGAAGGTAATGATACAAAACCACTATATTATCTTGGAGTAAATTACACAAATCGTCCCTCGGTTAGGTAATAAAAAGCATGTTTAGTCCTTATTTTTAAAAGTTAACTCAAACCGTCCCTATGTTTCCATTTCCTTGCATGGTTAGTCCCTATCACTGTTAGCCATTAGTGGTTTCCGTTTAAGTACCCCAAATACACGTTTAGTTCCTTGTTTCTTTTAAATTTATCATTTCAGTCCCTCATTTCTTTTTAAAATACTATATTGCCATTTTTTCTTCCGTTAATCATAATTTATCAATTAAATTAGATTAATTATAAATTTTAAAAACTTTATATCATTTTCTTGTTTCTCTCTCTCTCTCTCTCTCTCTCTCTCTCTATCTATCTATCTATCTATCTATCTATCTATCTATCTCTCTCTCTATTCTTTGTCCTTTTTTCAATTCGGGCAACCAACTCATATCATTACCGGCAACCATGGCCATCACCGACAGACCACTAATCGCCAACGATGTTAATTTCACCATAGAAAAGAAACACAAAGCACACATACCTTGTATGTGTGTGATGGTACAACACAAAGAGAGACGAAAATTTATATTCTGACAATAACTTTGTTCGGATCTGCGATTTAGAGTATGCTAATAACAACTCCCTTTGTTTTCGTCCTCTTTTGTCTTCTATGTGCAAATATGCGATTTAAGGCATGCCATCAACAACCATTTTATATCTCGATTTTAGATCTATACTCCATTCGTAGATCTATATTTTGACAACTCTTCTCTCTTCTCCGGTGGTGATAAGTGGTGGTTGCAAGAGCTGAGAAATAAGATAGGACACAAATCTAGGGTTTGGATTCTACATCTCGGTATCTTTGGATTTTACATTGATGTAGGTATTTTGATAGTTTCATTTTATTTACTTCTTTGTATAGTTTATTTTAACATTTTTCATTCATAGTTTAGCTAATTTTCATGCATATTTTCCTTTTTGTTATTTTATGACTATTTCGGGTACTTTCTAGTTTCGTGAGCATAATTGCAGATTTTAAGGAGACTAGCGAATTGGGATCGTTGGGAAGCAATTGAACTTGGAAGACAACACGGATTTTGGGCTAATATCTATTGGAGGTGGTGCATGGAGTGGGCTTATTGATCATTTGAAGGCTTGGAAAAAATAAACTTTAAATTTGCAAGATGCGGGAGAATATTCGAGCGTGCGTAGATTATTAATCGGACGATTATGTGAGCTATGGATCATTTGGAGAAGCCAAATTGGGCTTAAAATGAAGAAAACTTGAAGAAAAATGGGCTAGGAGCTTATTGGACTCGAACTGGGCCAAGTGGGCTAAGCTGTAGAGGCCCAATACTCAAAGAAGCTACATTCAGGAACCACTCGCGCAACCCACCGGTGCATGGTTGCGCGGCCGCGCACAGCACTGCAGGGGAAATTTCGAAATTTTAATTGGAAGGCTATTTGAGGAAGGTTGGTGCCCATCTTTTGGAGACTCTTGCACATCCAAAAAATCAACATTTCTCTGGAGATTTTGGGGCATTTTGAAGACCAAGAAGACCTCAAGAACTTCATCTTTTCACCTCTTAATCTTGTTGAATGTTTGGTACAATCTTTTCTTACTTTGTTTTCTTAAGTTTAGTCATGCTAGGCTAAACTAAACTTGCTTGACTTTTGTGGAGTCCTTTGAATTTTGTTGAATGTTGAAGACTCCACAAACTTGTTCTTAAATCTTTGTGGGAATGTTTTGTGCTTTAACATCTTATCACTACTTGTATGTTTTTATTCATGAGTTTAAATGTGTTTGTGGTGATTAGTTGGCTAATTTCTTGATTAAGTAAAGGATCCTCAAAATAGCAAGCAACAAATGACTTTTGTGTTAGTTTTGCTTCACACAATCATAAAAACATTTTCTCCAACATGGTAGTGAAAGCATTTGACTCCTCTTGGATTTGGTGACTTTTTGGTTCTTAATGCTAGTTGACTTTCACTAATTACATGCTTAATGGAAATTGTGACTTTGACTAAGGAAATTGTTATGAGCTTCTCTAACTATTTTTAACAACTAAGAAAAGTCTAGGTAATCTCAAGTTTTTTGGATTACTATAGCCAAATTAAGGATTTAAAACAAGTATTGCACCATTGGATTCTAATGATATGTTCATCAAAAGTCAAAGTGAGGAAACTTTAAGTCAACCATCTTTCTCTTATTGATTTTACATCAAACTCTTATTTTTGTTGAATTGTTCATTTAAATCTTAGTTTAATCCTAGTTTTATTTCAAGTATTTAAAAGACCAAAATCCTCATTTCTATTTTTATTGTCATTTTACAAGCAATTTTGCAAAGAGATTTTCCATAGAGTTATTAAATTGAACTAATCTCCGCGAATTCGACCCCTTTACCACTATACACTATTTTAGTGTCGCAGATTTAGGGTTATTTATTTCATTTGTCTCGACAACCACCAAATTTCATGACTTATTTTAGTATTGGGGACTTCATCTCGAAATCAATGTTGATTAAAGGTTTTAGATTAGGATTTAGTGTTGATTATAAGTTCCAGATTCTGGTTCTAGTATCAAATTTGGGTTTGAGCTTTGGATTTTGGTTATAGTATCAAATTTGGTGTTGACGAGTGGTGGTTAATGAAGGTGCTGACGGTGAAAGAAGATGGTTGTCGGCAATGATATGAGATAGTTGTCCGAATTGAGAAAGAGGATAGGGAATAGAGAGAGAACGAGAGAGAGAGAGATGAAAATGGTATAAGTTTTTATAATTTATAATTAATTTAATATAATTGATAAATTATAAATAAATGAAAAAATAAAAAAAATGGCAATATAACGAGGGACTGAAAGAGGGACTAAAATGATAAATTTAAAAGAATCGAATACCTAAACGTGCTTTCGGGGCACTTAAACGGAAACCTTAACGGCTAACGGCGATAGAGACTAACCATGCAAGGAAATGAAAATATAGGGACGGTACGAGTTAATAATTTAAAAATATAGACTAAACGTGTTTTTTAATACCCAATTTGTGTAATTTACTCATTATTTTGTTTAAACCGTTTGTATTAAAGTTTACTTGATGCCTTTAATATGATATGTTTTTATGGTATTTTTTTAAATAAGGCTATTATAAATACGTTTTTTGTGTTACTAAAACTAGAATTTGGGTCATTTTTAGTCATTCTAAATAATTGGATGTTATACTTTAATTATTATATTTTGTTTAAGTTACAATTAGACATCAAATTTGTTTATTATTATTTATTTTTTTTTGTTTATTTTAATTACTCTATAGGATGATAGACGATGTATAACATGGGGCACCCTTTGTGTAAAATATCATATCAGAAAAACTTCACGATCAATTTAACAAAGATGAAATATGAGTTGACGATAAACAATAACTTCAAAATAACGATAGAACAATCCATTGAATTAACTATTACTTGACTTATTACTAAATACTTATATCAATGTCATTGGAAAAATTATTATTTAGATTGACAAATCTTTAACTTACATTGTCCGAATCTTAAATTTATTTAAGTACTAGTCTACTAGACACTCTTCATGAAAAATAAATAAATAAATAATGATAGAGGAAATAGAATGCAAGTTTCTATTTGTATGTGGAGTAGCGGACAAGCACGAGACAATATCTATACCATCCATATCATGTTTGGCGGTATGCGCACGAGCGGACGTATGTAGTCAGTAGCCAATTGTGCAAGTGTACATTGATGCAATTTCTTTTATTCTAATGTATTCTTAAATTTATTTTTTATATATAATATTAAATACCTATATTGTAGATTCTGGATCCATTATTTATTCGTAAATAAGATTTGTCCGAACACCAAAAACTTAAATATTGTCTTGACCTATTTAACTAATCTATCAAACATTTATCAAGAAATAAAATTAGTTCAGATTGAAAAATACATTTAACTAAAATCGGAACTTGTAAATTCAATAACGTGTTGGTTCATTAGAATAGAATAGAATTCTAGAGAAAAAGATTTTAATTTCACCACGTTTTAATGTTTAAATTAATTTTGTATGATGAAATTGAAATAATAAATGAAATTTTTTTTCCATCAAATCGGAAAAAATATTTTTTTTTCAAGAATATGATGTTATTAATTCTCTAAGGCTGGAGTGTCTTTCATTTTTTCCATTTTTGGCCGCACACTTCAAAACTGGACTCCCTAAACAAGGGTAAATGGTAAATTTTATGATATGAAATAAAAAAAAGGTAACAAGGTAAAATGTCAGTTTTGTTCATATTAGACTATGGGGCATAGTGAACACCGCCCCCTCTCTCTAAAATTGTTCTTTAACCCATTAGAATTGTAATCCTTGTTTTACACTAGCCTCTGCCCTCTTGCTAATTTTGGTCTAATATATTTCTTCGTTAACAAAAAAAAAAAAAAAAAAAAAAAATATATATATATATATATATATATATATATATATATATATATACATCATTGCTTTTTCTTTTAACCGACAAATTTAATTTATTCGGGAGTTAAATCCTTAACGTCAAAATGAAGGACACCAGCTTACCTCGACTATGAAAAAAACAACAACGAAACTTCTCTTGAAGGTACACAAACGCGTTTTTTGAAAATGAATTGATGAAATCATTGAAGGATCCAAGCTGGAAGCCAGCTGTTCTTACGTACTCCAACATCTATTATTTTACTTTTTTTTATTTACTTGAATATTTATGTTTGATTGTTTTGTACATGTGAAATATTTTTAGGAAATGTATTTCAATATTTCACTGCCATATTTTCTTTCATTCTTCCATTTTCACTTTTCTCATACTACTACACTGGAAAATTTATCATTCTCAATCCATACAATTTATTTATTTATTTGATTTTAAATTAAACATTTATTAATTTGAAATTAAAATATAAAATATTAAGACTAAAAATAAAATAAAATTTTCATTAAATAAAACATAAACTGCTACATGCAGTAAATAAAATAATGAAAAAATAAATTAAAAATCATTTATAATAATTATAATCCTTTTGTTTATCTCCTCGACCCATTGTGAGTGTCCATTTTCCTTTCTTTATGGTTTTAGTTTCTTAGATCTTGCCCTTTATCACATTTTGAATCCCTTTTATGATATTGGTTGGAGTTTAGGGATTGGTTGGAGTTTAGGGATGAACTCCACATAAAGCTTGCAACTTTATCAACTTTGGGTGTCCCTTGAGTGTTCTACTTTTTAGATCTAGAATTTTAGAATGTTTTGAAGCCATGCATGATTACTAGGTCATTTTTCTCACCTTTATGACCTAATTTTGCGGTAGTAATGATTTTTATGATCATTTGTGAAGCAAATATACCTTCTGGAAAGTTTGAGCAAAATTTTTTACGTATTTAGAGCTTAATCAATTAAGTTGTCATCAGATAGAAACCACGACATGGCATGATGCTCATCACGACGTTATAAAGGAAGGTATCACAACTATTCTGTTGGTTTGCTGCCACGGCGTGGTGGTATGTTTACCATGACGTGGGTGGCGGAGTTGGTTACGACTGTGTTGGATAGCCACGACGTGGCGAGTGGTTAGCCACAACATGGTGACTGTTGACCATTGACTTTTTGTCCTAATTGACTTTTGGTCAAATTGTTAGTTTTAGAGAGTAGACTAAGGTGTTGTCTTTGGATGTTTCCATTAGGTGGTGTGTAACACTACCCTTTCGACTATACTATGTAGGATACTAGTTGTGTTTGCGACTCTTACATGGAAGACTAGGATTTGGCCCTTGACAATTGTATAAAAGACCAAGATCTGGCCCCTGGAACTTGTATGTAAGACCATGATTTGGCCCATGGCAGGAAGTGATTGTACGACTATCATTTGGCCTATAGTATTCATTTGGGGTTGAAATAGACCCGTGAATCTATATATAGTATGTGGTATTTTAGGGAACTCACTAAGCTTTGTGCTTACAGTTTTATGTTTAAATGTTTTAGGTACTTCTGGTTCCAAAGGGAAGGGTCTAGCTTGATCGCATTGTACCCTATGGAGTTTTCCGCACTATCTTTTATGACTCGTTTCTGATGTTTTGAGAATACATTATATTCATGATTATCTTTTATAATGAACGAATGAATGGTTTGGTTGTTTTAAAAATGATATTTTTACTCTGTATGTTTGGGACGTTACATGAAGCTTTTTAAATAATAGGATTTGGGAAGGAATCATCTAGGACTTCAGCTCATTGACTATCCATTGGGAAGTTCTTTATCATACCATTCAAAGTATTTACAATCTTCTTTCCCAAAAGTGAACAAATTTGGAAAACATGATGTTTTAATTTAGAACACAAATAAAAAACAGTTTCAAAATAAAATAAAATAAAATAAAATAAACAAAAAAAAAAACTTAGTGTCATTTGTGTCATTTTCCCATAAAAACCTATCTAAAAACACCAATGAACTATATACTTTGATTTGTTATTAAGGGTCTCTTCGACAACGTGCTTTTAATAACTCTAGGAAGCTTTTAGTTTTCAAGAAAAAAAACCCTCAAATTAAAGAAATAAACTTTGTTCGGAAGTATAAGCTTAAAACTTTTATTTTAAACAAAAAACTATCATCCAAAAGCTACTTCATATAGCTTTTGAGAGTTTTTAGTAGTATTTAACTTTAGGTTTTATATTTTATATTATGGTACATCTTTCAAAAGCTTACAACTACTTTTTCAAAACATGTCTATACAAATAAAAGATACAACTTTAAACTAGTTTTTACATACTTGAAACCTCCTATTATGCTTATTTTTTACTTGCCAATGTGGGTGGGGTTGTGGAGATACTAAAACATCTCAAAAAAAATGTCCTATTTATGTATTAATTTATTAGTTTTTGACATGGAATAAGATAGTATACCCCATTAAATACAATTTTACACAAGAAAAACACAAAGCGATAGAACGATAGAATAAATTTATGTGGTTCGGTTGATGTGACATACGTTTACAGGCAGGACCGCTGGATTCTTCTATTACCAAATTGTTTCAAAAGAAATTAAAATGGAATCCTAACTATAGATACTTATAACTGTAAACCCTAACAACTATAAGGCCAAACTCATATATTAGTAAATTCATAATAATTAAACAGGTCTATACCATGGGGGCTTCACCCACTTCACTTACTACGAATACTTAACCCTTCGAAATCATCATTCAGGTTTTCTTCAATCCGTTTCGGGTCAGATTATTCATTTGAGTCACCAAATTCCAAATAACATATTAACAATAGTTATACCTCCATGTCTAAATTGACTATACACTACACATAGTATTATGATCCATAAAAAGGTTGATCACACCAGAAAAAATGAAACATAATATCTATCATTTAATGAGATAAGTAGGGGTGAGCTCGTATCAGAACATATATCAAACCATATAGTACCGAAATCACTTAGGGCCAGTATAAAGAACCGAATACCAAACCGAAGTAGGGGTGAGCTCGTATAAGAACATATATCAAACCATATAGTACCGAAATCACTTAGGGCCAGTATAAAGAACCGAATACCAAACCGAAGTATAAGGTATATATCGGTTCGGCTTGTGAAAGTAGGCTTAGTTAAAACTTAAGGGCAAAATCGATACTAGAATGGGACCTGACCGGTACTAAATAGTGTAGTACCAAACAATTTCTTACCAAAAAAAAAAACGAACCGAAATAGGATACAATTCGGTTTAGAAAACCAGGTGAAGATTCTCACCTTTAAAGACAGGTATTGATGTTTTTTTTTGCATTTATAAAATCTATATAAAAGATAACGACCATGTTCAAACTTTTGAATTGAAAATAATATTTCAAAACCACTTGACTCTTTTAAATGTAACAATAATAATTATTGAACATGATGAACTAAAATGTAAAAACGCGGGGCATTTAATATGTGCATTTGAAGATGACAGTTTCCAAGGGCCTCACCTCACATGTCACATGCCTAACTTCACCCACCGCTGCTCACTATTCCCTCCTCCGCCATTATAAATACTCATCTTCTCCACCACCTTTTCTTACCAACAAACACCTTAAAGAATCCGTACTCCATTCCTATAACTTCAAAAAAAACATGAAGCTTCAATCTGCAACAACATCTCTAATCCTCCTCCTCCTCCTCGCTCTTCTCTTCATCTCCTCCCTCGTCGAATCCACCACCACCATCACAACTTCTCCAACCGCCGCCCCTGTTCCCTCTCCAAGTACTTCACCGATCCTTCTCCTTCATATAATAATATTAATTTCTCTTCTCCTGATTCTGTATCTAAATATCTAATATCTGTACTATGTAATTACGAGTTATTGAATTATTGATTGATGATGAAATGTAGGTGGATCATTTGGATGCGATAAGAAGTGCGAATTGAGGTGTTCGAGATCTGGATGGAGAAAAATGTGTCTGAAGTTGTGTGGGATCTGTTGCGGGAAATGCAAGGGATGTGTTCCTTCGGGTCCGTATGCAGATAAGGCTCAGTGCCCTTGCTACCGTGATATGAAGAACCAAAAGGGTAGAGACAAGTGCCCTTGAATTTATTTATTTATTTTTTTTAATTTTAATGTAATGTTAGTATTTAATTATTATATTTTTAATTATTATGTTTCCTTATTGGGTTAATAAAGTTCATCGGTTGTACTACAAAGATAGTACTTTGTAGTTATTGGTGTTATTGAGTTGATTCATAAGTGGGATATTTATTTGGAAGTAAAGACATCTTGCTTATAATGTTTATTTTTTGATGTATACCGTTTACATCAAAATTGATTAAAAGAAAATAAATAAAAGGGTATTTGAAGTTTATATGATATAAGAGTTTTTTTTTAATAAAACATTTATAGACTACTGAAATTGATATAAGAGTTTATATGATATAAGAAATGGTAGTCAAAATCCATAAAAATATAGTCAAAGGTAAAGAAATCATAGTATAAAAGTGTAGTCAAACCTACATGTTTTTATTGGAAACATAAAAAATTGAAAAAAATTAAAATTTAAAATCACCTACAATTTGTACGGGTATTTTTAGAAATCTGCTGATTTTTTATTATTTTTCAAAATCATTAAGAAGTTTAGGCATTTTAATAAATTTCTATTATTTTTAACGGCTTTAGATTAAGCATTTAACATGGAAAGTAATATACTATATGGTTATATTATTTAATTTAACTTGGACAGGATAACTTAATTAACTCATAAGATGTTTATGATATTCAATTTTTCATAAATCACAATATTTGATTTTTGGTCCGATTAAATTTATAAGTCACGAATTCAATGAAATCAAATAGTATCTAATCTATACATGAAATGATAAATGATGTGATAATGATAAATTGAAAATTAAATGAATAAATTTATCAAAATGTCACCAATATATGACCTAAAAACAAGATGATCATATACATGCAAATTACACCAGATAATGCATTAGGATTGACAGGTGCACCTTGATTTCACAAACTCTGTGTCGGTGGTGCTCATACCACGTGTACGGCGTCGGCAGTGGTTCACCGGCACTGGTTTTCATCGCTTCTACTATAAATAATCGTCTTCACCACAATGCTACCAATTTCATTGATAATTCGAAGAAGATGAAGCTTCCACTAGCAGCTCTACTCATCCTCGCTCTTGTTTTCACCTCCTCCGTCTTTAAATCCGTCATCGCAACAACTCCTACCGCCGCATCCGCCTCCACCTCCGTTTCCATCTCCGTCTCTGGTCCAGGTGTTTCATCGATCCCTCTTCATTCACTAATTCTCTCCAGTTTTAGGTTTTCACAACAAAACGGAATACTTTGATTCGGCTTTTGTAGAAGGATAGATCGATTGATTTGATTGAGTAGTGATTAACGATGATTTGATGAATTGATGAATGCAGGTAGATTTGGTTGCAATAAGAAGTGTGAATTGAGGTGTTCGAGATCTGGCCGGAGAGACAGATGTTTGGATTATTGCGGGATCTGCTGCGGGAAATGCAGCGGCTGTGTTCCGGCAGGTCCGTACGCCGATAAAGCGGAATGCCCTTGCTACCGTGATATGAAGAACCCCAAGGGGACAAGCAAATGCCCTTAAAATGTTTGAATTTTAATTGATTAGAGTTTGTGTGAATAATTGTTGTGAAGGAGTTTTTGTATTATTGAAATAATCTTTTATAAATGAAGTATCTTTTAGTTTTAATATCTTTTATAATTAGAGTTATTCATTAAAATGGTTTAGTGAAATAGTTTTTACAAAGAAAGTGATTTTGTGGTTTGACTAATTTCCTTGTGAAATTTATCAATTCGAAATTCGTTTATTTCAAGAACCATACATTATAAATGTTAGGTTTTCGGTCGATACCTACAAAATATAAGATGTGAGGATAATAAAGAACGCACATTTTTACAATCTAAATGTAAGGATTTCAGTCGATGTCTACAAAATATAATTCTCCTCCATCTAGTTGATTCTTATCAATCATCTAAAAGGTCAATTTAAGATATACAAGGTTTCTAACTATTTTGTTGTCACTACGTACCTTGATAAACATATATGTTGGATATATGTTGGATTATGTGTACAAATGATATGTAAAAACGTTAACATATAAGGTTCCGAAAACAATTTAAAAATTTGTAAGATGGTTTTTGATTTGTAAAACTTGAATTATTAAAAACAAACTTCTCATTTTAACATACATTATAAAAATGTTTTTTTCTTCTCAAGTTCTAGCAAAGAAAAAAAAAGGTGGGGGGGGGGGGGGGGGGGGGCGATGAAATAAGGAGAGAAAAGAAGGAAAGGAAAATTGTATTTTGTTTTTTCGAGTTTGAGAGAGATGAAAACAAAATTAAATAGCTTGTTCATTTCTCTCAAAATCGTTCCAAATTGAAATGAAAGTTATATGAGAAAATTTTCTTTTCATTTTTTTTCCGCTTCTTACCATTTCCTTTCATTAAAAAACTTAGAAACACCAAAAAAAAAAAAAAAAATTCTAACTTGAGTTCATTTCCCTTCTTTCCCTGGTTAAGTTGAACAGGGAACATGGTGTAAAATGGCAACTTCAAGAAGTGCTTCTGGTTGCAGTTCTTGTTGGATCGCATTTTCAACATATGTTTACAAATTTAGAAAGTTGTAAATGAATCCCTTTGCTACAGGGAAACTAGAAAACTGTTCCAAAAAGCTTCACAAGAGTTTTCAAGATGGAGAGGCTTCAAACGAAGTTCACGAAAACTAGGAAGAAAAAAACAGGAAGGTAAGTTTATATGTAGGATCATTCATCCATGCTTTGTAAATTGTGAAGTACTTATTGCCTGGCCAGTCATTTGATTTTGAAACCCCTGTATAGAGACTAAAAATAAGCCCTTAATATATATAAATAAAATTCATTAATACTATGATAAGATTTGACACCTAGTAATACCGTGGCTAGTTATATTAGTGACTAAGATTAAAAAACAAAAAAAGAAAAACAGTTCATTTACAAATAATCAACAATTGTTTAGCTACAGAACCATGACAAAAGACGCATGGTTCTAAAGTGTTTTGAGACAAGCTAATTTCGTTGCTAAGCCTCTTGCTAATTTCATCGTTGAATTGTGGTTGTTGGTCTTTAGCGATGGACAGAGGCGGAACTCGAGCTTTATAACCAAGGGGGCCAAACCCAAAATGTTAAAACAATAACATACAAACAAATTTTTATTTGGTTAAATTTTATGAACACTAGGCATAAGCATTAAAACGATGGTGTCTATTCATGTATTTTCTTTCATCAATTTTGTTATTCTATTTTGATGTAGACTACATAATATAATTTATTAATAGTTAACAAAATAAAAATTTACAATTGCATTTTGACCACACTAATTACGTTGACTTTAATATTGTTTATACAGTTTGTAATTATACATTAAAGGTAATTAAAAGATAATAAAATTTACTAACATTTTAACAATCAATAAATACTAAAAATTAAAAAAAGGTTACCATATCGTTACTATATATCAAATTATTATAAGTTACTAATTGAGTTTTTTTTTAACTTTTATAAGCTTTTTTATACAATAAATCAGATTAAAATATTTAGAAACTAATAAATTAAATAATATTAAAATTGGTGTATCTTTTAATACTTGACAGGCTAATATATATATATATATATATATATATATATATATATATATATATATATATATATATATATATCTTTTAACATTTAAAAGAGTTCTATACTTTTAGTAAGAGAAAAAGAGAGATGAAGACTTACCTCAGAAATCTGGTTGAGTAAAGCGATGAACACCAATGAGTCGCTGGTCGGAGTTGCAGTTCGGCGGAAGGAAAAATGGAGACACAGGAAGTAACCGACTGTCGGAAGTTGTTCGTAGGAATTGCAGGCTGTTGAAACGGTAGACTAGAGAGACAGAGCCACATCGGTCAATAATAGCGGACCGGAGAGATGTGGAGTGGTGAGTACTCCGGCGGAGGCAACACGCAACAGCAATATCTTCTGGTGAGAAGTTCGACGGATGTATTATGTTTTCCGGTGAGAAGTTTTGTTTTTCCGGAAGATTGATCTAGGGTTTGTATTTTCTAAATATTGAGTTAATAGATTGAATATTAGAATGAGTTTTTATAGAATTTTTGTTTCTTAATCTATAAAATCTTAATTTCGTTAGAGTTCGTTTGGATGTATCCCATAACTTTTTGGATTCTTGTTAATTATTTATTACTTTCATAATCTTTATATTTCCTTGTGAAATAATCAAATCAAATAAGATGTATATTTTTGTTTTTTATAGTTGATTAGTTATTTCTATAACTAAAGGTAAGAGGCCAGGAATCTCCCTATTCTAATAAAAGAATAGTTTTATTCTCCTTTTGACATGTGTCATCTTATTAAACCTCCTAATTAATGCATTTTTTATTCTTCTTTTTCCATGTGTAACCATTTTCTGTCAACTAACTAATACTTGCCACTTGTCAAGCTATTGATTATTCATTTTAAATTTTAAATTTTAAATTTCTCACTCAATCTACATTAAATTAACAGCATTAAAATAAAAATTAAAATAAAATTAATTACAAATTATAAAGTTATATAATTTCATATATTTATTTAAATCAATGATTATAATTTTATATAACTAAAAAAATCTCTTAATTAATAATTTATTTAAAATAATGGGATATATACACTAAAGTCCCAATATTTTCATCGATTTGACAAGAAATTCCTAAACTTTATTTTTTTGACAGTAAAGTCCAAATTACCGGCAATTTTTGACACTTTCACCCTTTTTTCCCGGTTAGCCGGTAATTAGGACTTTTTTGTCAAAAAAAATAAAGTTTAGGACTTTCTTGTCAAATCGTCAATTAGGACTTTATTGTCAAAAAAATAAAGTCTAGGACTTTCTAGTCAAATCGTTGAAAATAATAGGACTTTAGTGTATATCTCCTTTTTTTGTTAGAAATTTAATGGTAGGATACTCTTTAAACATAAGAGTTATTAAAACATTCTCTAGTCAGCTAGATCCTATTGAAATCCTTAACATTTGCTTCTTGTTAAATCGTTTTTTTAATCTCAACAAACAAACATTGAAAAAATGGAGATAATAAAAAAGAAAGAAAGAACCAGGGTTGTGTTGACTTTTTGCTGTCCCAAAAATGGAGAAATAAGAAACCGAACCCTGGTTCTTTCTTTCTATCTTTCTTGATTATCTCAATTTTTTTCAATGTCGGTTTGTTGAGATTAAAAAAACGATTTAACAAGAAGCAAACGTTAATGATTTCAATAGGATCTAGCTGATTAGAGAATGTTTTAATAACTCTTATGCTTAAAGAGTATTATACCATTAAATTTCTAACAAAAAAAAATTATATATACACTAAAGTCCTAATATTTTTAACGATTTGACAAGAAAGTCTTAAACTTTATTTTTTTGAAAGTAAAGTCCTAATTGACGATTTGACAAGAAAGTCCTAAACTTTATTTTTTTTTTTTACAAAAAAGTCCTAATTACCGGCTAATCGGGAAAAAAGGGTAAAAGTGTCAAAAACTGCCGGTCATTTGGACTTTACTGTCAAAAAAATAAAGTTTAGGACTTTCTTGTCAAATCGATGAAAATATTGAGACTTTACTGTATATATCCCTAAAATAATTGATTGATAACTTTGAAATTTTACTATAAAAGTTTAATTAGTTTTGTAACCGTGGTTCCCACAGGTTATAAACTAGTTAGACAATAAATAAAACCAATTTTATATTACAGAATGGCAAAAATCAGGGGGGCATGGCCTCCCTGGCCCTCAAGAGGTTTCGCCACTGGTGATGGATTTCTAATGCAAATTTCCATTGCTGATTAATATGTTTCTAGTTTGTAAAAAAAACTGGCCATGTTATTTCCTAATATAAGCTTCCTTTTTTTGTCATGAATAGCTCTTTTAATTTGTTTTTACGTAGTAATTAGCTGTGGTGGAGCTTGAAGTTTTGATTTGGGGGGCCGAAAATAGAATATGTATAAAAATTGAAGAACAAGGGGGGGCCAAAGTCAAATTTTATAGTTTTAGGTATAATATGTAACTTTTTTTAATGTATAAGGACTAATTATAAAAAAAAATAGGGGGGCCACAGCCCCCCTGGCCCTATATAACCTCCGCCACTGGTAATTAGTATTATAGATAGGGAGCTGATCCGTACACAACAATTTTTTTTCCATACACAACAATTGATGTTTTAAAATGTTGTATGATACAACTATATAATGCATGAATTGTTGTGTATGGCAAAAAACTGTTATGTACGAATCACTTCCCTTATAGATAACAAGAAAGATGAATTCAATTTATTAAAGTCGATATTACATATATTTTGTACACAATTTTTTCTGCGATAAATGCATCACCAAGAGAAAAATATGTAACATGTCGAACTATAGACAACGAGAGTTTTGAAAATATGGTTGAAAAATGAAAGGTTTGTGTTGAAAGTGGAAGATCAACTCAAAATGAAATATACGGGTTTCAAACTTGAGTCAAAACCTATTATTTTTCCTTAAATTACAGATTGAAAATAAACATTTTAAAAAATAATAATAATAACAATTAATTCCTTCACACCGAATAAAAATACCATTGTTCTTGACTGTTGTTT